AAAAACGCGGGGGGTCCGTTTATTTATTAAAGCTACTTTTATAATAGCTATAAAATTTTATTAAACTTTTTATATTCGCGCTTTTATTTTATTATATCCGCTATTCTTTTTATTTTATTTTATTTCTAGGCTTTTATTAGCTCCTATAGGCCCTAAATAATCTATTTTTAAGTTTATATTATAGCTCCCGCTAATTAAATACCTAGCGGTATATCGGTAATTATATTTACTTTTATTATATAATATAATTAATAATAAAGCGGGTAAAAAGAGGAGTTTAGATATATTAAGAGTTTAGTTTATATAAGTTTATGTTAAGGGGATTTTAATATATAAAATCTAAGCTAAGGAGTAGAGGTTTTTAGAGCGGAGGTTCTACGGAGGTTCTATAAAAAAAAAGCGCTTAAATAGGACCTCTATAGAAGCGGCGCGGTGAGCTGTAGTAGTATCCGGGCTGAGGCTCGGATCTACTAATCGGGTCTAGCCCGTAACACTGCCAGTAAGACCGTGGTGTGTGGCTGTATTCATTACGTTCATCTGATCGAATGTTTTTACCTGAACCAAGCTTTGCGGCTCAGGCAGTGTGTCCAGGTCAGACGCTATGTTAGTCTGGAAATCGAAGTGTCGACTAGATGCATCATCTCTCTGTTCTTGAGTAAGTCCCGCCATTGCGAATAAGATCAGCAGTACGTACAACTGTATCCGGAAACTCTCCATTATTGAAAGAGAAGGTAGCAGCAAAGAAGTGATACTCGTTTAGAAATGGCGCGTCGAACATGGTGAAATAGAAGATTTATCCCGTGAAAGATCCGTATCAACGTGGAAAGTTGCTTCTACAACGCGGCGTAGTAAGAAGAGGCTGGTTTACTTGGAGGCACTCGATCAGATAAATGTTCAACGGCATTTTTGTTCAAGATCTCTCTTCCTTGGTTTGCGAGTCGTTGCCAGCAGGACCTTTTGTTGATGAGCATAGGGGAATAATCACGAGGACCAGGTTTCGCGGCATTCCCGTCAGATGAGCCGCATGCCGTACACGAAGTACAGCCGTGACTTAAGACTGGTAATTGATGGAATACGCGGCCTCCGTCAAGGGGTTCCGAGATCAAGTAAACAATTGGTTGGCTTGGTTCAATCTAATTATCAAGTACTTGAAGTATCCGTACCTACGAGACGTAATCGGTGTTATGGAAACCCGCGCCTTATGGTTCAACAACGATGGAGGATGATCGGCGAGTTTAAGCTTTTGCTGGCGCCGAACTCTGATGTTGAGTCAATTTGCTGCCTAATTTAATAGCCTAAGCTCTCAATCTATCTATTGTGGTGCCTAACGTCAAAATCCTACGTCACAAAATACCCAGCCATGAGCTTTGCAAATGTATGGTAACTTTAGGGTACTAGACTGACTGCCAAGGTTCAGGTTACTTTCTGCCTTCTCACATTGAGGCTGTTAGTGAGCATCCTGTCGATCTGTAATCGTGGGAGACATGGGCTGAAGTCCGCAGATAAAGAACCTTGACGAAAGTCTGAACACCGTAGGGCATCTCGCCATCACACTAAGAACCGAGGAGTGCTCTGATTCTTTTGCGACTTCTCTTCCATCAGATTGGATTTACTTGGGGCTTGTGCTCTCTGATAAAGAGAGAAGGACGCTTTTAGGTGTATCAGGGGCCCAGCCTTGATAATCATACTTTCAAGAGGACTTAATGCGATTATTGGCCTTTTGTTTTTGATCAAGGATAACTGCAGAACTTTTCACAAGCGGTCACCTCCGCCGATCTTCTATAATCATTTGTGTGGATTAAGTTCAACCTGGTACTTTGTAATTGATCGTGAAGAAATGATTAGACTTTCATGTCGTTCCTCTGGTTCAAGGATATACGAGTTGCTACCGGAGCTGGGCTGGCTAACTGTTTTGAAGAATCCGGCTATTAACTCTCGCTGTTCGAACTCAACCCGATACTCATTCTACCGCGTCATGCCGCGAAACCACGCTGGCCAGTCCTAATTATCATTTAGCGATTGACGCTGCAATCGAGTAAATAAATATTGAGCCTAACACGTACCAGACTATCGAAGAGACGGCGTGTCGCATGGTTGGTAGTATTACACGCATAAGTATGGCAGGTCGGTCACATCAGAGCCCCTAAGCTAGAATTACGGAGGTGAGCGTAGAAACAGTGGTTCTTGAAAGTTGAATAGCATGGCAAAATACAAGGCAGAGAGGTGGCTCGTAACTTGAAGCCGATAGAATCTCGAAAGGCCATATTAGCGCCTTCCAAGGATGCAAAGAGCTTATAGAGGTATGTGCAGGGCAATCATTCCAAAAGCTCGTCTTGTGACTTGATCAAATTGGTAGACCGTGGATGACCATACCATCAACGCTTTGCGAACCAGCTTGTCGTCTTTTCCACCTATGACCCTATGGAAACATGTTAAAGCAAGATAGAAAGGAGACAGTCCGAGCATAGTAAGACACTGATTGTATGCGTTATCAACGATACTTGAGTTGTGTGTCAAGATTTTGGTGTACGCGAAGTTGATGTTTGTGAGTGGAAGTGTTGTGTGCCCTGTGTCTAGAAGTGTATGGAGTAATACTAACTTAGTACTAATACTTCGTACTCTGAGAGAGTTGTCGTGGAAAAAAAAAAAAAAAAACAGATTGAAAGCTGGGAATCAAAGGACCTTAATGATTTCGACCCTTGCACTTGATCAATGCGCCCGGCAAGCGGAAACTTATGGATCAGCGGCGCGGGTGTCTCCAGCTGCTTCATCAAGGTGGGCCGACGGGTCGTTGGCCGCCAGTATCGCACGAATCATGGACGAATCCGACCGGGAATAATCCACTGCGAACACCTCTTCAATGTTGCGGCCGATGCAACGGACAAGGGTACGGTTTGCATCTAATTCATAGACAGACTACGAGTCTTCGAAATGTATATAAATCTTTGGTCGACAACGAAGAGGACAGCCAGTCAATCCAATTCAAATAATCACTCATTCTCATTCAATACTTCTACGTCCAAAAGAACATCATGTCGCCCAAGTCGAATCCTCATGTTCTCATCATCGGTGCCGGGCTAAGCGGCCTCACACTTGCTCAGATACTCCGCAAGAACAACATCTCTTTCTCCATCTTCGAAAGGGACAGTAGAGCCGATGCCAGAGCTCAAGGATGGGCCATCGCCTTACACGGCCCTTTATTAGCTGAACTATCAGCGTCGATGCCCGCAGACCTTGGTCCCATCGAGCAAACTAACCATCTGAGTCCCCTCGACCATATCCCGGCGCAGTTCGTCTTCTATGATGTCAGCAAGCCCTCGTGGCGAGTCGGTGTCACGGACGATGAGACTGGAAAGATTGTTCGTGCCAACCGCCAGCGTCTCCGTGACTGGCTCTTACAACATCAGCCGGTGCAGTTCAATAAGCGCTTAGTACGACTCGAAGAGAAAGACGACAAAGTAGTTGCACACTTTGAGGATGGAAGCTCGGAGACCGGAGACATCCTTGTTGGAGCTGAGGGAAGTCGGAGCATGGTGCGTCGGCACATCTTGGGCGGGCAAGATGTCATGACGCCGCTCCCTGTGGGTTCGCTGGTCGGCGAAATCGAACTCGAGGTTGATGAAATGAAGCATCAGCTTGAGTTGGGTCATTCTGCCTACATCGTCCTGGACTCATCGCCCGAGAACCGATGGCAAGCAAGCCTCTTCGCCGCCATGAATAAGATCAGCCCGGATAAGAAGACGGGGTACTTCTACTTCATTCTTCACTGGATCGACCAGGAAGCTGCTAAGACCACGGAAGAGAATCCGTTTTGGACCGTTACTGCCTCACGAGAGGAGTTGATGGCATTCGCGAAGGAAAACACCAAGAATTATCCTGACAGTCTGCGCGTGCTAGTCGATAAGGTGCCTATTGAGAGATACAAGAAGCCAGGTATTGTGCTACAGAGTGTGCAATTGACAGTCGATCAACTGCCTGCTGGCAGGATCACTCTGGCTGGGGATGCCGCTCACTCTATGACGCCATGTAAGTATCCAATCATGGCTGGAAAGAAGTCAAAGCTAATCCAACCCCCATAGTCCGAGGAGAGGCCGGTGTTTGTGCACTGACAGATGGCTTGAGGCTCGGTGAAGCCATCACAAGCATCCGCAACGCTGGAGGAGAACGTTCTGATGTGGCGAAGTACATCGGAGAGTACCGCGACGACATGATTGCAAGAGGAGCAAGAGCTATCAGCGTATCCAACCCAGTGCTGGAGGATCACTCTAAAGACGCCGGGTATGAGTTTTACACGTGTGGAAAGAAGGTTTTGCCGCTGCCCGAGGAAACTATCACCATCTGAAATTAAATTGTCTCTCAATTCATCTCTGCAAGTTTGCTATTCAGATCTCCTAGCATCCAGCCTCACATATCTAGATCGTAAGATACGACATTTCAAATACAAGGTCAAGTTCCTACCGTGCCTCAACCGTGACTTGTGCGTTCCTCGCCATGTTTCACTGAGATGAAAGGATGTACACGAAGTTGAGCATTATGTTTCTCTCCCTCAACTCGCCCAGCGCAAGATTGTCTCCATTCATCATAAGTTTGACAACGGAGAAGAAGGGCAAAATACTGGAATCAAACTTTGTGTGCCGGTATGTCTAAATGAGCAATCTGGATCAAAGCCAGTCTGTTTGCAGTACTAAATGTGCTGTCTTGTGGTGAAGAGGACTGAACGTGTGTCACCAGACTGGCGGGACGTGTCATCCAGCCGAGCCCCCGGCTGCTTGTCTATTGGAAAGCATCGACACTCGAGGGAGCGAATTGGCTGTTTATGATCTTTGTTCCATCCAAAATTGATAGTATTTGAAGGCATTACAACAAGTCCACGTAGCGGGCATCTTGCCGCACCTCTTCCCTTCCCCTCAGATGAGAGTTGTAGATACGACCTGCAACTCTGCGGAAGTCGGCGCGCTGTACGCACATAACCAAGGCGACCCCAATGCCAGTTGGATTTTTCATTTAGGGCAGTTGGCCACATTAGAAGACCCAGGACCGTTTCTCGTGCAAGACTGTCCTTCCTTCCCGTCACAGCTGCCTGAAGAGCAAAACAGGCGGACGCCGCTGGTGTTTTCCTGACATTCTCCCTTGGCCGTGCATTTGCCCTCTTGAGCCTATTGAACATTAGAACACTTGGATTAGTGGACTGATTTATTAAATGGTGGCTGGTTTGACGACTTACCAGAGCAGTGGTTGCGAAACCAAGCACCGCAGCGATGAAAAGCTTGTTGAGTTGCATTTTGATGTCTGAACAGACAGAGTTGTTTGAAATCCGGTTGACGGTAGTCACTGAGATGGTCGGCAATTTCGTTGGGTTCTTATATTCTCTATTGACGAGGAACATGATCTGCATTATGAGAGAGTTACAGCTCAGAAAGTATGGACGGCCTTGTGTTTGAGGGTTTGATCACTCTGGTGTACCAGTCAATTTATTTCAGACATGACAACCTGGTAGAGTTCATAGACACTGGAGCATAGCCACAAGCCTGCATTCCCGACGAAATAGTCAACTCGTCGATCAACCGGTTGTCTGAGCCAAAGAAGGAAACTAATTTCAATTACCTTTCACTTATTACTACAGTCCTACATGAAGCTTGAGCAATTACATCATAGATGATCAATTGACGAAGCGATCGAAAACCTTCGTAGCCCAGGCTTCCTCTAATGACTAGCTTCACTTATAGAACCCTACCATCATCAATGCTTCCGTGTTCAACAAATGTATAAGACTCTAGAACAGAGCTACTAACACCAGTCACGAGATTCACATTCGACACCCAGAGCGAAACTTCCCTTTCGCAGGATTCGCCTCCAACAAACTTATGCCCTACTCTCAAGAGGTAAACAACCCGTATCTTCTTCAGCTGCTTGAGGAAAATGCCGTGCATCTTTTTGATCAGCCTCTTCCACCACTCCTTCGGATACGTAGCACGCAGGTTGTCTGCAATCAGCATTACGTCGTCCTGCAGGCGATAGACACGCCAGTCTCCCGAACCCACGTTATCATTCGTAAAGAAGCCTATAGGCGGTACAGGAATGCTGCCGGGGCCTTTTGAGCCCCTGACTGATCCAAAGTCGTGTCCAACGGTTGTCTTGATGAGCATCACTGACATCCTTTGCGCAGTGGTGAAGGGAACGATTGAGCTTCTTTCAAGGCGAGGGGACTCGGTAGTCTCAGTCTCCTGTGGCTACAATGGTCTCATCAATAAGGGATTCCTCCACGGGGACTAAGTTGGCCTGGGTAATGAGCCTTGGGAGAAGAGTGGTCAAGGAAGGTAGGATGCTGATAAGCAAGGAAACTGAAGTCATCATACCTTTCCTTCCTGTTGGAAAAGCACCAGCCGGGACTTGTGCAAAGAACGCAACAGCTCAATTTGACGGTCCATGCTCGCCGCCGCGATGTATGCTTTCATAAAGACCAGCTCAATGATAGCGATACTCCTCAGCGTTACATAATCCTTCAACCTCATGGTCGTAGAACTCTTCAACACCACCGCAACATAAATGAGAGAGAAGAAGTTCACAAACGGCGTATCAGACCACACAAACCGCCCCGCTCGTCGCAGGGCGAGGATGAACCGCAACCAGCTTCGACGGCACGAGAAGACAGACACGACGAAGCAGAAGCCAAACGTGCAGGCGACGAAGACGTTGAGAACCATGTCGGACAGGAAGAGGTTCATGGCGATGGCGGAGGCGAGGGATGCGCTCAGAAGAAGGAGGCCCGTGTTGGTGAAGTACAGCTCGGCAAGGTCGCCATCGCTGTCGTTGGACAGGATTGAAGTGTACCCGTCTAGAAGAACGGAACAGGCGTTTGGGGTTCCAGGTTGAGCCTTGCGGCTGAAGGGCACCAGCCTGATGACGATCGCAACGAGATTGAGAAGTTCTTTAATGAGAACGGTCAGGCAACTGTGCAGAAGCAAAGCGCTCGCAAAGTTGATATCCTCATCCCAGGTGACCATCTCGCCTTTGTCTGAATGTTGGTAAAGTGAGGTTGAGAGATAGAGGGAGTGAGACCAGGCTGGATGATGATGATGAGCAGCAGGCTGCCGAAAGCCGAGGGATTACCATCCTTGCACAGCCTGCCTCGAAGCGAATAGATGAGGCGTCACCCTAAGACACATTTGTGAGCTTCTACGTCAACTGTTGTTCCTCTTGGCTGAAGTAAGGCAGTCCCAAGTTGGTGAGGATATTTCGAGTGTATGCTCTTGGTAATTGAAACCAACACAATCTGATAAGAAGAGGATGGCTACCACTTCATAATCATGACCCAAAGGTTTTTCTCGTCTGTCTTATACGTTTCAGCTGGTTTGTCTTACCGAATTCATATGAGTACTTTGTCATAAGCCGCATTGCAGACAGAATCATGCCTGCAACCTACATGTTCTTATTCCCGGAAGACATTGGGACCCTCACAACCCCGGCAGTTCAACGTGTCCCCGTTGTCAAGTGTCTGGATTTAAAACGCACTGAATCTCCCATCCCCAGTCTTGTAGCCTTTTTTCCATCATTTGATTTAAACCCTTTGGCCAATCAATGTATGGTAGGATGAACGCACTGTGTAGATGAACTTCGGTCTTCAGCTCAAGGCAGTCTGAGAGCAACTGTATAAGGCTTTTGTCGCAATTGCCTTACGCGTCTACGACTTTCCAAACTTGATCGACGTCTTTTTGAATTTAGTAAATGAAAAGAATATAGAGTGCAAGTGGTCTTTGGCATTGTGTAAGGTTTTCTCTGCGATTTACTTGTTGATGTGCTAACTCGAGAGCTATGTCTGGTTGAGCAGGTATTTCAGAAAGAAAGCCAGTGATGCATCATCTCTATGTGATGAACGTGAGCTAGCTTTCTGTTCAGGGAACGGAACGGCCGGCTTCGTTGCCTTCACCGAAGCTACTGTGTTAGAGTTCAAGGCCACAAATAGCTCATCTCTTACGGCGCTCGATGGTGATCCATGTGAACACTCGCAAAGGCGTCCAAATCATCTTGCGACCATCTTAGGTACAAAATGCCGTCAACCTCTAGAAGACAATGTACGAATCGCAGTGTCTTTCTCAAGCGACGTCATTTTGCAGGTCGGTTCGGATTCGTTGTTTACCACCTTCCCTAAGAAACATCCTTGCAATGGGGTGCTAATCAACCCCTCCGCCAATCTATCTTAATGAGAATACGAAGTCTTCAAAAACCTTGGCAAAGTGGCTACGCATCTGTCATTATCCCCTATCACCCGGGATTGGATCTTTATTCGATTTCCGAAATAAACATTAACAAACACTGAAAGACCCTGCCATCGCCCGGCTCAAAACAGTCTTTACCGTCGCATGAACCGCATCAAAGCCGTCGCGATGCTGTTTTCTCTGCTCTTGAGTGCCTCACTCAACTTCCCTCTCGCCTAATTTTTCTTGGCATCTGCTGTTAGTGAATGAGTGAGCCTACCACCAAATTACTAACAGCCGAAAACTCTTCACCTCCCCTTGCCGGAGCCCGCATCCGCGATGGCCTCACAGCCGCCGTCGGGCACCGGACTGATGTCGGCCGACCAAGCCGACCCCGAACCAGGCTCCGGGACACCTCCGGAGCCGAACCCCACCTCAAGAGCTAAGCGACGCCGCGACGCCGAGGCACAGCCGACCCGGCCCAGCCTAACGGGAAGCCAGCTTGATGCCACCACCGACGCCCCTACCTCGGCCGAGGGGCCCGCAGCCTCTACCGCATCTGCTCCGAGCGGATCTGCCACAGGGTCCGTCTTGACAGCCCTTGCAGAAGAAGCTAGACAGTACGAGGCACGGAAAGACGTCTTTCTGACCATTGCACGGTCCGTCGACAGCGTTGTCGCCAGCTTTGACGGTTCTAGAAAGCAGATCGCGAAAGAAGCCACTGCCTATGTCATTCAAACCCTCAAGAGACTGATCAATCACGAGACAAGCCCAATAGCGGCCCGGAGTTGGGCGGCTGTCGTCGCACCGATGGCGGGCAACACCACTGCGGCGACCCGGAGCGGCCAGAGCTGCCAGAGCTCTGCCCGCCCGAAGGCCACACTCCCCGCCGAGGATCAGCCGCAGGCGCAGCCGAAGGAGGACCTCCGCATCTTTGCCCGCGTCCCGGAAGAAAGCTTAGCGGCCGCTCGGAAGATCGCACCGTTCGCCGTACGACAGATCGTCTGTAAGGCCGTTGGCCTGGGGCTAGCGGACCTTCCCCACGTCTACCATATCAGCACAGGTTACTCTCTGAAGCCGCGAAACAAGCAAATACAGGAAAGACTACTTACAAGTAAGGCAAAGCTGGCGGAATGCCTCGGCGCCCACCAAGTCGAGACGCCTATCAAGTGGCACACATACGTTGTGCCGCGATGCCCAACAAAACTACACAGCATTGGCGGGGACGTCCTGGACCCAGCCACACTCGTTGAAGATGAGGTCTTCGCACAGACAGGACAGAAGCCTGTCCTTGCTCGACCGTCCCGCCTTGGGCCCAACCCAGTCACGAACGAAATATCTTGGCTCATATCATTCACATCAGAGGTCACGCCCTTCAGGCTCTTCAACCAAAGCGGCAGATCTCTGCCCATCAAAAAACGAAGGACGCTCATCCGACATGACCCCGGCTGCCAGGGCTACCACGCCAACCGGTTCTGCGGACGACGACCGACTTGCAGCAACTGCGGAAGACCTTCCGACTCACACGAAACGGGACCTTGCATGGCCAGGCCCCAGTGTCCCAACTGCTGCGGCCCCTTCCAAGCCGGCCACACAGACTGCCCAGCGAGGCCCTCGGTCGTAAACGGCGTCGTCTCCCTTCCCGGTCGAAAGGAGCGGGCTCGGATCCGGAAGGCCGGCCAGAAAGCATCGGACACTCTGTACAAGGCTACTCGATCCGACAGTAGCCAGGAGGCGGCAGGCGTCCCTACCTCCACCAGCCAGAACCAGCAACCCGGCGCCAAGCGCGCGCGCACGAGAACGCCCTCCGCAAGCTCGATCGTTTGCCTCGGTGACGGAAGCACTGACAGCAGCAGCATGGATGAAGACGAGGCGGACGAAGGCGAAGGCGAAGACTCCCCCGACAACACCTCCATCGACCGTCCCGTGCTACCCATGCCAAGCAGGAGCCAACGGGCAGCACAGAAGCCAAACTACAACGTCGCGAATGCCTACACCCACCTCGAACTCGACTCGGAGACGTAAGCCGAGAGCGGCGACCCCACGGATGCTACGCGTTGCGCAGGGCAACGTCGGAAAGATCTCCCCGGCGCACACGGCTTTCCTGCAGCTCTGCTGGGAGGCTCAGATAGATGTGGTCCTCGTCCAGGAAAGGAACCCTCTGGACGGGCTGAAGCGGTGAGGTCAATACTCGTCTGGTTCCTTCGCTGTCCCAGGTCGACCGGGACGAAAGAGTCGAAACCCGGGTGCGTGTTAGTTGCACGTTCCGTCCTTCAGCCCGTCCAGGGTTCCTGGACGAGGACCACATCTATCTGAGCTCCCAGCAGAGCTGCAGGAAAGCCGTGTGCGCCGGGGAGATCTTTCCGACGTTGCCCTGCGCAACGCGTAGCATCCGTGGGGTCGCCGCTCTCGGCTTACGTCTCCGAGTCGAGTTCGAGGTGGGTGTAGGCATTCGCGACGTTGTAGTTTGGCTTCTGTGCTGCCCGTTGGCTCCTGCTTGGCATGGGTAGCACGGGACGGTCGATGGAGGTGTTGTCGGGGGAGTCTTCGCCTTCGCCTTCGTCCGCCTCGTCTTCATCCATGCTGCTGCTGTCAGTGCTTCCGTCACCGAGGCAAACGATCGAGCTTGCGGAGGGCGTTCTCGTGCGCGCGCGCTTGGCGCCGGGTTGCTGGTTCTGGCTGGTGGAGGTAGGGACGCCTGCCGCCTCCTGGCTACTGTCGGATCGAGTAGCCTTGTACAGAGTGTCCGATGCTTTCTGGCCGGCCTTCCGGATCCGAGCCCGCTCCTTTCGACCGGGAAGGGAGACGACGCCGTTTACGACCGAGGGCCTCGCTGGGCAGTCTGTGTGGCCGGCTTGGAAGGGGCCGCAGCAGTTGGGACACTGGGGCCTGGCCATGCAAGGTCCCGTTTCGTGTGAGTCGGAAGGTCTTCCGCAGTTGCTGCAAGTCGGTCGTCGTCCGCAGAACCGGTTGGCGTGGTAGCCCTGGCAGCCGGGGTCATGTCGGATGAGCGTCCTTCGTTTTTTGATGGGCAGAGATCTGCCGCTTTGGTTGAAGAGCCTGAAGGGCGTGACCTCTGATGTGAATGATATGAGCCAAGATATTTCGTTCGTGACTGGGTTGGGCCCAAGGCGGGACGGTCGAGCAAGGACAGGCTTCTGTCCTGTCTGTGCGAAGACCTCATCTTCAACGAGTGTGGCTGGGTCCAGGACGTCCCCGCCAATGCTGTGTAGTTTTGTTGGGCATCGCGGCACAACGTATGTGTGCCACTTGATAGGCGTCTCGACTTGGTGGGCGCCGAGGCATTCCGCCAGCTTTGCCTTACTTGTAAGTAGTCTTTCCTGTATTTGCTTGTTTCGCGGCTTCAGAGAGTAACCTGTGCTGATATGGTAGACGTGGGGAAGGTCCGCTAGCCCCAGGCCAACGGCCTTACAGACGATCTGTCGTACGGCGAACGGTGCGATCTTCCGAGCGGCCGCTAAGCTTTCTTCCGGGACGCGGGCAAAGATGCGGAGGTCCTCCTTCGGCTGCGCCTGCGGCTGATCCTCGGCGGGGAGTGTGGCCTTCGGGCGGGCAGAGCTCTGGCAGCTCTGGCCGCTCCGGGTCGCCGCAGTGGTGTTGCCCGCCATCGGTGCGACGACAGCCGCCCAACTCCGGGCCGCTATTGGGCTTGTCTCGTGATTGATCAGTCTCTTGAGGGTTTGAATGACATAGGCAGTGGCTTCTTTCGCGATCTGCTTTCTAGAACCGTCAAAGCTGGCGACAACGCTGTCGACGGACCGTGCAATGGTCAGAAAGACGTCTTTCCG